CTGCTCCTCTGATGCTGCTTGGCCTGCTCTGTTCATCCAGCTCCACAGCTTGTTATCTCGGAGAGTTACGTAGCGTCTCGATGACGGCGATCCCACTGCTTGTAAATAGAGTTCGCTTATCCTGACTTTCTTGAGTATTTATCATGTTGGTAATGTGCCGAATAGATAAAAAGCATCAGTTGTAAGGTTGCCAACGTTGGGTGTATTTCTCGTGGTTTCATCACACAAATCCTACCTTGTAACATCCCAAGTTCTACCAAAACACACTGTCTCGTGCTGATGACGTTGGTTGCCCAATATATTAGTCCTTGTTGCGCACTGCCTTCCGAGACTAATTGGAAAGTGAGCCATGTTAATCACCGTATTATGTGATTCTTGACTGTTAGAGAATCTCAGGAAGCTCATGGTGTAGAAAGTCATTAGGTTCATTAGTGTCTGAAACAGCCATTTGAGCATTTTATCTTCGTGTCAATCTCCTCTCTTTTCTTGGTACATTGTTTCTGTTTAAATAATTGTCTAACGCTCTCTTGAATACCTCCATTACTGGACAATGCATTCCAGACCCCACCTACTAACTACGTGAGGGAAAAAAAGTTCCTTGCATTTTCTTCTTTTGCAAGCCATTTTGAAACCGTGCCAGCTGATTCTTGATCCTTTTGGAAGTGGGAACAGTTGCTTCTGATCCGCCCTGTCTCGACCCCTCATGGTTTTCAAAACTATTAAATCTCTTCTTAGCCTTCTCTCCAAAGAAAACAGTCCCAATGTCTCCATTGCCTCCCCAAAACTGAAGTGTCTCATCCCTGAAACCATTTTTGTAAACCTCTTCAGTCTTTCTGATGTATTCACAGCCTTCCTATGGTGTGGCACACGGAGCTGTATACTCCAAGTGACATCCAAGTACTAAGGAATGATCATCTCTAACTAGAGAGAATCTAACATTGACATTCAGTGGCATAGCCATTACTGAAACACTCAATCAACATCTTGGGGTTTACCACTGATAAGAAACTGACATGGACTAGTCATATAAATATAGCGGCTGGGTCAGGAGCTAGGAATCCTGTGGTGTGTAACTGGCCAAAGCCTTTCCACCATCTCCAAGGCAGTCAGGGAATTCTTCTCACTTTCCTTGATGATTGCAGCTCCAACACTCAGGCTTGATACCATCCAGGACAAAGCAGCCCACTTGAATTGGCATTGCATTCACAAACATTCAGTCCCTCCACCAATGACGCTTAGCAGCAATGTGTAATATTTACAAGATGGACTGCCGAAATTCATCAAGGCTCCTAAGACCGCACCTTTCAAACCTACACTCGCTAACATCTAGAAGGACAAGGGTAGCGGACGTGTAGGAACACCACCATCTCCAAGCCACTTTCCATCCAGACTTGGAAATATATTGCCGTTCCTTCAGTGTCATTGTTTCTAAATCCTGTAACTCCCTCCCTAACGGCATTGTGGGTGTGGCTCCTCCATACAGACAGCAGTGGACACATTTTTACTTTGTCTCCAAGTTCTTTGTGCCAAAATGTATCACTTCACACCTGTACATTGAATTTCATCTTCCAACCATCCAATCAAGAAAATCCTCAATGATTTTCAATGGTCTATGAAGCCAGAATACAAGCATATAGTTTAAGACACCACAGGATTTAAACTTGTACGTCACCACAAAGCTGCCTGCCTTGACCTCAGCAGGCTTGTTTTCCACAGCCTTCGAGCTGTATTTCCGTTCACAGACTGCTTCTTTCCAGTGATGTTGCCAGAAGACTCACCATCAGCAGCAACCCTCGTGGGATGTCGGAACAGCTCCTCAGATTGATTATTCTAGACAAGGGAGTGACATTTCTTTGACATGTTGTCCTGTGGGTGAATTCATCCATGACCCCATTTCTTGGGCATTGTTCAGGGGTGTTTTGGAGTTGGAAGTTTCAATTCATCCTGCCAGAGAATGTATTCCACTCACCTCTCTCGATCGCAAGTGCTTTGAGCACATTAGAAGTTGGAAATTTGGAAAATGTTGCCACCTTGGTTTTTTTGATGCCATACCCTGTCCTAATGGTGTATCTACTGCTGCTATGTTGTTGCATTGCATAGCTAACTCTAAGAAAGTGTGTGAAGTGATGCTTTGAATGCCTTTAATTTCCTTCTTTGCCTTGACCTCAGCATATCAACTGCTCAAAGCATTATTGCTGAGATTGGGAATTCCGTGTGGAATTTTAACCTTTTGAGACATTTTGATATCTATTTGACTGACTTGCAAAGCTGTCCTCAAATCTCCTTTTTTGTTCTAAAATGGTAAATGTTTGAATCTGTTTTTAAAAGTAGCGATTTTGTTTTTTTTTTTTTTGAAAGCTGTACTACGAAAATGCAGTGTCCTATCATTCAATTTATATTGATGAAAAATGTGCTGTTAATTTTAAACTCACGACATAATGAGGGTGTTTTCAAAATTGGCTGGTATAGATTTAATGGAAGAATCCTTTCCAATATTGCCTGTATTTCATTTCATAGTGCAGTATGTCAACAAAACAATTCTTCTACTTATCAAATGTATCAGAAACTGCTGGAGTTCTCTAGGTACAAAAGTAACTGTACTGCTTAAACCATCACCTAACTGAATGTGAACCACTGAATATTGTAATAGAGACTGGTAGATTTGAATTATGAAATCAGGAAAGCATAAGCACTTTAGTGGGCTTTGCCATTTTAAGGGTATGGGCTGACACCTTCTGGTAATTATTCCCTTAATGTCATCAAGTGGTGTGATGAATGTGGCTGAATAACTAGTTAGCATTCATGATATTGGCATTGGCCTGTTACTGGGTAATAATATTTATGATGTTTTACTGCCCGTTGATGTGAAAACATTTTGCACTGTGTTGAAGGTTTTCATTGGAGAGTTGCCACAGGATTTCCTTCGTATTGTACCAACTCAGCAACAGCAGCAAGTACAACTTGATGCGCAGGCAGCTCAACAATTACAATTTGGAACTAGCATGGCTACTGTGGGTCGATTGAGCATCACTGTGGTACAGGTAGGGAATGTTTGTTTCTTTCTCAATAAAGGTCAATTTGCTGGCTAAGAGCAGTGCAATTAGTGAAGGACCCAACTCTGTTCCCACAACTTGATGCCTTTGGATTTTGAGACATGCTAAATTATGCACTACACTTCATGATAGTAAAGTGCTTCTGCACTTGAAACATAAAATGGTTTATCTCACCTGTGTGAACTAAACTTGGAACTTAATACAAATCAAATTGATGTATTGCAGTCTGTCTCTGGACCACATTTTGTATTTCAGTCTGCTGCCTGAAATTTCTCTTGTGGTGGAAAAGATTGATTTTGAGATAATTTCACGAGTAGTTTGATTTTCAAGAATTCTATTCTGAACCATATTTTCTGTAAATTATGGATTCAGAAGAAGGAATTTAAAAACCTGTGTCCCTTTTCACTTATTGAGCAATTTCAAATAAAATCTGCAGAGAGCATTTTAAAAACTTTCTCCAAAATTATGACAATAGTGTTATTATTTCATCTGAAGTCACTGAAGAAACACTTTTTTTTTGAAGAGTTTGATTATGCTTGGATTAATAATTCTTAAACAGCAGTTGTAAATAGGAATTATTTTGGAATTCTAGTAAATATTATTGGAGTATAATCATAGGACCACTAATCTGCAAAGAATTAATAAATCAATAGCCTTTTCTTTGGAGAATTATGGAATTCAGTAATATATAACTCTATTTGTGAGGATCATGCTGTGATCCCGATAATTTTTCCACTGATTAGGGGTATTAAATGTTTATTCAGAAGTTACTTTCATCATAAATTTCATGTATTAATGTAAGTATTAGTATAAATTGTATGGCTGACAAGTTGTAATAATATATAACTATTGTTTTGCTTGGACATTGCTCTGCTCTGACCAGCCAGTTCCAAATGTTTGTCTCTGGAAAGATACCAGAAACTTTCCCAACCTGCACAAACATTTATGAACAAATTGCACAAAAAAATTCAAATGTTTAGTCCAACAACACCATAAACATGTCACTTCAGTTTCTCTGTTGTGTGAACCAGAACTCGATTTCAAGACTCTTCTGACGAATTGAGCAATATTAATTCAAAATTAGATATAGGAATGGATGTTGATATTAACAGAATTAATCGCTTTGTGTTCTTAGCAGTTAATTGTAAATATTTTCACTTTTCTCCATCTGTACTTTTTTTCCACAAGGTTAGAATTTTTTAAAAATTGTACTCTACAACCGTCAGGTCAAAAAAAATTGCACATGTAATACCACTTGCCTGGAGAGTAATAGATGGCTCTAGTTTGAGTGACTATTTAGCTGTTAAGGTAAACTGTGATATATCTATTAAGAAATGCAATATAAATGGCAGGTCAAGTGATATGTTGCAACTACAGTCTGTGGAGCTGCTGCCTAGCTGTGAGATCCATAATAATCACATCTGCTGTAAATATTTGCAGCTCGAGGATCTTCAGATCAGGGTTGATGAGCTTAAGCCCCAACTGCAGATGCTGTCCTACATAAGGGGAAGAAATTATACAACCACTTTTTTTTGTTCCAGAAAGTGATCGCACCCCTGCCTAAGTTATGTACGTTAGACTGTTTGTTTTTTTTTGTGGTTTAGGGTAAGATTGTGACCACAACTTGACATTCTAATTATATTTAATAGCAACATTGTAGAGAGCTTAAAAAAAAGTTGATTAACCTTCTTCTCAGTTGAAAGTAGGCCAAGTTACTCCATATTCACTGTGCCCTCTACCTCATGCACTGCTCCCTCTGTAACCCTACCTAAAATTTCGAAATGCTTTGACATTCTTTCAGTAGAAGACAATCTTGTACAAAATTGCTGTTTGTGTTCAATTCAGAAAAGTTGCTATCTGGATCTTATGGTTATATTTTGCAATGACATGTTAGCCCCTAACAGTGTTTAATGTTTGGCATTGAGACTTGTTAGAGATTAAATATTGCATCAGAAAATGTAATTATTTTCTCAGTTGTTATTGGCTTTTTTACCCTTCCCCGTCCTTCCTCTAGCAAAAAGATGACAAGCCGTCACAGCCTGGTCTAGTATTCATTTGCATCAACAGCAGCCAGAGAGCAGCACAAAGTTGTATTTGCTTCATTGCTTTGTAGTATTGGTGTGTATACACTAATGGGAAAGTTTTTTTTTTGTATGCAGTTTGGACTAAATTGTAGTATATGAAGAGTGAATTGCACATCCTTGAACGCCCAGTCTAAACCATGATTGGCAGAAATGTCTCTGCCAGTTAAGAAAAGTTACAGCGTGATTTTAAGCCCTTCGTACTCCACCTTTACAATGGATTACTTGGATGACTTGAAGCTCTGAGAAGGAAATCGAATGTTGTCTTTGTCTTGACAGGGCAGGAATTTATTCAACTGGAATCTGGTAAAACTCCTCCGAATCTTCTTTGTTGCATAAATATAACTTAATTCTGTCTGTCTAGGCAAAACTGGCAAAAAACTATGGGATGACACGTATGGATCCTTACTGCAGAATACGTCTTGGATATGCAGTATATGAGACACCTACAGCACATAATGGAGCAAAAAACCCAAGATGGAACAAAGTCATTCAGTGTACTGTGCCACCTGGCGTTGATTCATTTTACTTAGAGATATTTGATGAGGTGAGTTTCTAAACTGTATTATTTAAGTTGCATCATTCACATTCCCATTGATTTCAGCATGGCAAACTGTTAAACAGTTAAAATGTACTTTACTTTAAATGTGAAGTTTTAGGAGTGCTGGCTTATTAGATAGTGGACCTGCACTTGAGCTGTCAATTATTTGATCTTTTCTCTCTTTTTGTTTTCAATAATTTCTGATATTGAAACTTGTATATTACATACTATCATTTTACATAGTAGGGAAATGTCTAAAATCTTGATTTTGGAAGTCAGTAACACGCTCAATGCATGCATTAGAACTATCCCCAAATGAGCTGGAATTTACATACAGGAAAGCTCAAATAGTGGTCTGGGATCTGCTAAAGTTTAGTAGTTGCTTATAAAATTGCCCTAAAGTGGAATGGCAGATGCTAAGCCAAAGAAAGACAATTGTTCTGTTGTGTTATTTGTTTGTATTATTTTACAGCTCCTTCAGGGTAATTGATGGATCCAGTAGCATTTAAAAGTTATACACGTTCATATTTTTTTCATATTATCACCTTTTGTGATTTCAACCTTACTGTTTAAAAGCTCTTGGAAAAGACTAACTGCTTGTTATTCCATCAGTATACATTTTCTATTGAAACATGTTTTATTATTTGCAGCGGGCTTTTTCCATGGATGATAGAATTGCTTGGACTCATATAACTATCCCAGAACTACTAAAAGAAGGCAAAGTAGTGGATGAGTGGTACAGCCTTAGCGGAAGGCAAGGTGATGATAAAGAAGGAATGATCAACCTTGTTATGTCTTATGCAGTAAGTGACACATTTTAGATTATTCTTTTTTTTTAAACTTGTTTATGTGAAAGTCTTGATAGACACTGCATTTCAAGAACTGGTTGATAGTTTAGCATTGCAATTTGAGGTTAAAAATGTAACTTACAATTTCAGTGATATAGGTGACATTTAAAGACATTGTGTACATTGTCTAATTTTTGAAAATTATTCATAAGCTTATAGTCATTTGGTAGTATTGCTGAAAAAAGATGCATTATCTCAACTTTTCATCTTGCACCTGCCTCAACCACTGAGCACTATAAATATTGTTTTGCCTTTACTTTACTTTTTTTTTGTAGCTTGCGCTGATGCGTGCAAGACACAAATTTTGGTAAAATGTTTTTTCTTCAATACCAAATAAGATTATTAAGCTTCAGTTTCCTTTTTATATAGTTATTACAACAAAAGCCAATATTCAATCACTGATGTCGAATATTTTTTGACAGTGCTGTATTTCTCAGATCTGTGAATGCTAGGTATGACCTTGATCTTGAAAGTTAGCTTTGCAGTCCTCCTGATTAGGTATAGTTCTTGCTGAGACTTTCATTGATGCTGTGACAACATCCTGACTGTACTTTGCTGAATATCATACTCTGTTTTAGATACCTCCACCTTGGAAAAGATTACTAGCCATTGATACGCTGGGATATTACTTGGGATAAATGAGTAGATTATGGTCGGACACTAGTTAGCCTTGGGGTGTAATTTCTGGAGACAGAGATTATGGAGTTATTTAAATTGCGATGTTAAAAGGGGAGTAGATGAAGTCTGGTAAATAGAAGGAAATTTAGTAGGTTAAAGCCTTCAAGCAAAGGGTTGCGCAAATGCAAAGTGCGTTGCCCTAGAAGGTCATGTTTACTGAATCAGACGTTGCAATCCACAATATGTATAAACCGGTGTTATTTTAGAGTTTTAATCTTGTGTAGTCCCCCATTTCTTATATTGGTAAGACAGTAAATGCTGCTGTGGTTTTTGTTTCTATGTAAACTGCCTGTTGCAGATTTTTTTTTTTTTTTGTGCAGCATTTTGTTCACAATTCTTGAAATATTTCAAATTGCAAGACTTGTCCTTTAAGTTTTCAAAATGTTTGTGTTCTATCGAAATCTGAGTTTCCTTTGAGAATTTGTGTCCCCATTTTTTTTCATATTCAGATAATCTATCGTCTGCATACGTTATGCTTATTACCCAATTGAAACAAGTTGAGTGGCACAGTTTGATTTTCAACTTAATCCAATCTTGCAATGCCTTAAATTTTACTTTGTTTTTTGGGAAGAAAATCCTTTTAACTGTCAATTTTTCATTGCATTTCACAGACATTGCCACCAAACATGTTGGTGCAGCCACAGCCAGTAGTGTTAATGCCCACTGTGTACCAACAGGGACTAGGATACATGCCTATTACAGGTATGATTAAGCTTTTCTAACCTCCTTTTAAGGTGAGGAAGGAGTCTCTTGGCAATCCTTTCCTTCTATTTCTTTGCTAACAGAAGTATGGAACCTGATTGTTTGTCGAGAAATGATCGAAAGAGATGTTCATTGCTTCCTAACTTTACCTAGTCTTTACATGAAATTTAAAATAAACATTATGATGCCAAGGGGAGGCAATGGCCTAGTGGTTTAATTGCTGGACTGTTAACCAAGAGACCGAGGTAATGTTCTGGGGACCTAGACTTGAATCCCGTCATGGCAGATGGTGGAATTTGAATTCAATAAATATCTGGAATGATGACTGTGAACCCATTGTCGATTGTCAGAAAAATCCATCTGGTTCACTAGTGTCCTTTAGGGAAGGAAACTGCCATTCTTACCTGATCTGGCCTAAATGTGACTCCAGACCAACAGCAATGTGGTTGACTCCTTACTGGTGTGCTTGTGCATCAGTTGCTGAAGGTAAGCATGAAGGTGCAGCAGTTGATAAAGAAGGCAAGTTGGCCTTCATTTGAGAGTTTCGAGTACAGGAGCTAGGATGTGTTGTTGCAGTTATACTGGGCCTTGGTGAGGCCACTTCTGGAATATTATTTGGTCTCCCTTCCTGAGGAAGGATGCTCTTGCTGTTGATGGAGTGCAGCATAGGTTTACCAGGCAGATTCGAGGGATGGCAGGACTGATGTATGAGGAGAGACTGACTGACTAGGTTAGGATTGTTTTCGCTGGAGCTCAGGCAAATGAGGGGGCATCTCATAAAGACTTATATAATTCTAACAACAGGACTAAACAGGGTAGTTGCAGGGAGAATGTTCTCTGGGTGTGTCCAGAACCAGGAGTCACAGTCTGAAGATTCAGGGTAGACAATTTAGGATCGAGATGAGATATTTCTTTACCCAAGAGCAATGAGCCTGTGGAATTCATTACAACAGGAAGTAGTTGATGCCAAAACATTGAAAATATTCAAGAGGTGGCTAGATATAGCACTTTGGGGCAAATGGGATCAAAGGTCATGGTGAGTAAGCAGGATTAGGTTATTGAGTTGGACGATCGGCCATAATCATGATGAATGGCAGAGCAGGCTTGAAGGGCTGCATGGCCACCTCCTGCTCCAATCTTCGATATTTATTTCTGTGCATTTCAGCGATTTTTGGGTTTTTTGTAGAATGGAATATTTTTCCTTATTTCCTGTTAAGCATTGAAGATGACAATGCATGCCTCGTTTAGTGGTATTGGGGCTGCTATTAATAGTCTGATTGTGCCTTGGCCAGCTGGACTTACAACTTTGACATTTCTTGTGCCTATGTATAAGGTTCAGAAGCTAAAATGTGAGGCACCAGTAACTATTTAAGGACTGTTCACTGCTCTTAGACTCATAGTATTTCAACAGAAAAATTAGTTTGAAATACATTAACCTTTTTACTTTTTGAATGCCAAAGGAATTGAGGAATATGTGATTTTTAAAATAAAACAAATTTTCTTTAATGCACATTATAAATGAACCACCTAGTGTGACATAGTCTGTTCCAGCATATGGCACAATTTGATTTTCAACTTCATCCAATCTCAATACCTTGCAAAGTTGTGCAGGATATTCAGCAAGCCTTAGCCTCCTATTTCTGAAGGCTCTGATGTTCTGTGCAACTGATGTCCCAATTGTCTGCCTAAAAACAGGCATTGAGTTGTTGCATTTTTAAAGCTTGCTGCCTATGGAGGCACAAGAAGTACTAGCAGCTCCCACAGTTAAAATCAAATTTCAGTTTGACCCTGAGAATCTGCTTGAATTGTACTTTCTTGGTAGGAAATCCATTTCAGGCCCAAAAGCAGACCTAAACTGAAGAAACTTCATCCTTTATTAGCTTGTGAAGCACCTACTTCAGTGGCAGAGGTAGTAAGCCACGGAACAGACAATATTACTGGTTAAAGACTCAATTATGTATTGCTATGCCCACATCATGATCTAGTATTCAATAGACTTATTAGTGATCATTCAACTATTAAAAACAGCTTGCAGCACAGGAGCGTCTCCATGAAGCTGTGATTTAAATGTCTATTTTTCTGCACTGTATTGGTTTGATGTAATGTTTATATTTTGGGGAACCGATTTAATATTAAATGTAATCGTTCGTTGATTGTTCACGAGATATTTTCTTGCCGCATGCAACTAATACAGACTTTGGCAAGTGCCACACTGTTTAAAAGGGTTCAAAAGTTCTTTTCTGTCTTTATTAATTTTGTATTTTTGGCAATTTAAAACTGCATTTTGGGAGTTGAGCTTTTTTTTTCTTTTTGCAAAGTATCATGTATCTTTTTGTAGAAAATGTCACCCTTCCCATCTCTCACTCCAACCCTCTAGACATAACCCTTTTGTCATTCTTTTTTTCACCAAGGCATCTGCCTCGCCTCTCTGACCTGTGGTCACTGGCACATGTACCTGATAATGACATCACTGTAAATGGAGTGTAGTGGTGTTATTGGTGCCAGACACTTCCTGCAGTCTGCCCTGACACAATAGGATGATATCTCTAGCCGCATTGGCACATTCGCAACAGCTATATTGCATTATTGATAATCACTGCATTTGTTTTAAAAGAAAAATCTGAGCTGTGGTTTATACCCTGCAACGTATGAGATGGTAATAATTGTGGTTTGTAATAAGAGGAAATTGGATATGATTTGCTTTCTCACTAATTCTAAATTTTCGGACATGTTATTAATGTTGCTTCTTGGTATTTTTGCGCTTTAATTTCCTTATTACCCACTTCAGGGCTTGAGTATTTTGCTTTGGGTAAGTTTTTTGAGTGACGTTTACTGCCTTTCCTCACAGGCTAAGTCTATGCATGAACACATTCAAAATGTCATTTGCTTGTGTATTTTAAACTGGCTGTTGCTTAAGCATTCTTTGTAAGATCTCAATAAAGGATCGATGGTTGGCTTCACGTTTTAATGTGTCTGATTTTGATAATGTATTGCTTTTCATATTAAATTTGCACCAGCAAATAAATTACGAATACACTTAAATACATTTGAGCTTCAAAATCTGTCAGGTAAAATTGGCTAACTGATATTTTTACATTTACAAACTTATTAAAAATTCAATCGGCTGCTTTATTTATATTACTAATGTTCAGTAGAACTGGTATCAACTGTATAGAGGACGAAATTGAAATTCACTTACCTTTTTTAAAAAAAAATTGACCTCCTCAATTATTTCAAAATTATTTTAATATAGGTTGTATTTTATATATGTCAAAATGTGTGGTACAAGTAACCTGCATGAATTAATTTTCACAAGTAATGTTTGCAGCTGGTTCTCTGTATTCTGTTTCCTTTAATTTTTTTTTAAACAAAATGTTTTTGGAATCACACTCGGATTCCTAGTAATATTGTGGCTTCCTTTTAAAGTGCATTGTTTGTACAAAAGCATAGTACTTATGGCAGAAGAGATTTTAAACTTTTGAGTACTGATTTTAACATAACAAAAATTACCAAAAAAAATCTTATTTGAAATTAAATATTGCAATTTGTATGAAACTTGAAGCTTGCCATTAAAATATCATCTCTTCCATCAGCATTGAATTTTCATAATCCATAAACTGGACTAAGTAGACTGGAATTGCTAGCATTAATACAAATTAATAACCAAATAACTTCAAATAATAAAAATTGAAATACCACAAGGTACAGATTACAGTTGTAATAGTGTTCTGCAATTAATGGATTTATTTTAACTTACTGTAGTAAATCAATCCAGTCTGATGTCCCTTAGTGGATTATTTTTCCCTCCGTTTTGGCATTTGTTAAACTACCTATATGAAACATCATGCTTGTGGTTTAAAAATCACATGCTAAGTTATTTTTCATATCATTTGCTTACGTTTTCATTCTGTCTTGATTCCTGGAATACTATTAAATACCATTTCTTTTATTTGCCAGGAGTGCCAACAGTCTATACACAAGGAATGATTCCAGTTGCAGCACCAACACAGGTATCTGCTCCACAAAATCTGTACAGTGAGGAAGATCTCAAATCCATCCAGGATATGTTCCCTAACATGGACAGAGAAGTGATCCGTTCAGTGCTGGAAGCACAGAGAGGCAACAAAGATGCAGCAATTAATTCTTTGCTCCAGATCAATGAAGAATCTTAGGAATATGTGCAGTCATTGTCCATATTGCCAAGGGCCATAATAACTGATGTATCTCTGCAACAAAGACTTTGAGCTTTCTCTGTCAATCTTTCTTGTTTGCATATGCACATGTCCGATAAACAACACATTGTACAAAGTTTGTAACTGTATTAAACATAGAGTTCTGTAATCGAAGTGCATATGCTTAAGTTCAGAAAGGCTGCTAAATTCATATCTTGAGGTTATATACTAATTTGTCCCACTGAGCTTAGTTAAACTTCATGCTTACGTCCTTGAAGTACGTCTGTTGTGGATTTGATGGCATTTAATGCTGATTGTCCACCTGTCAAGTGCTTTGAAAATTGTCTTTTCTTAGAGTTTATTAAAAATGTGCATTAATTGGAATTTTGCAGCTAGTTTTACTCTGAACTGGAGTTGAAATTATGTACAGAAGCTATAGCTACTTACTTACATTTTACAATCTTCCATGCACACACACAACCTGATGTACATGTGCACCCACACCCCTGGTAATAAGTAGCCTTCACCAACAACACACACTGTTGGAAAAATGACTTATTTATTTCAGTTAGCCACACTCCATAAAAGTTGCCCTCACTCCCAGAATTATGCAACCAGATCAAGCTCAATTAATTATTAATACATTTTATTCCTGTTCCTTTATGCCATTAGATCTCCAGACAATCTTTCAGATCATATTAGATGACAAAGATAAAGACCACGTTAATTGTACTTTTTAGTTTAAATTACTTGTGCCTCATGCCCCTTCACTGCTCTCCTACTTCATCTGCTTTTCTCTTTTTCTTTACTGTGCTTCTTTTTCAATGTTACTATTTATTATGGTACATCGCCTTTTAAAAACTTTGGCGGAAAGTGTCGTCTCCCAGCCCAGGTACAGTGACCAAGGTGGCTTACACTGCCCTGGACTGGCAGTATAGGCCTGGTGGAGTGGTCTCCTAGTGTGGTAGTATTGTTCAAGAGGGGCAGTCTTGACCTGGAGTGGCATTCTTGTCCTTGCGTGGAAGTCTCGTACCATCATGGAGGTTTTTTTGGCAGCTTCAAGGTACTCCGGCAGCCTTGTACAGATGTCCTGGCCTTGCTTCGGAAGCAGCTTCCAGGACTTCTGATGGTGTAGCATTGAGGGGCGGTTTCGGCCCAGTTTTCCAGCGTACCCTGAACCTAGATGTTGTCAATTGAACTTTTTTTTATTGTTCTAACTTATGACTTCTGTCACTAATTTGTGTGCTGTGGTACAGTGACGTATAAAATGTCTTTTTTTTTTGTAAAAATATACATGACAATAAATTGCTATTCTATGGAAGCAGAACAAATACCTCAAAATGGTGGATTGCTTTATATGGAAAGGTTGGATAAACGAGGCTTGTATTTACTGGAATTTGGAAGTTAAGAGATGACTTTATTGAAACATCAGATCCTGAGGGATCTTGACAGGGTTGATATGGAAGATGTTTCCTCTTATGGGAGAATTTAGAACTAGGGGTCACTGTGTGAAAATAAGCATTGGCCATTTAATACAGGCAATAATATTTCTCCTTTGGAGAATTGAGTCTTTGGAACTCTTTTCCTGAAAAGGCAATGGAAGAGATTCTGAATTGAGACAGATCAATAGATTCTTGCTAAGCAAGAAAGTGAAAGTTTATTGGGGGGGATGAGAATGTGGCTTTAAGCTTCTACTCAGATCAAGGATCTTAAAATGTTGGAGCAGGCTTGGAGGGCAGAATGGTCTACTAAATTCCTATATCTTTAATTCCATTCACCTCAGTCTTTTCCAGAGATCTCCTCCAAGATACCATGTCAAAAGTTTTTTTTCAAGTTGTACACATCACTTCTTCTGCATATCTTCCAATCTTTTACTGTCAGAACTTCTGCATGTTGTTAAACGAGTTTTTCTAATTTGCATTGTCTGCTTTTAAGTAATTTCTATTAATTGAGATTGCGATGAGATGTTAAACTGAAGCCCTTTTTGCCAGCTCAAGTGCATGTAAAAGATTTTAATGCCACTTTCGGGGCAAATTATCCTCTGTATCTTGTCCAATATATATCCCTCGACGTTCAAAAAAATCACAAACCCCCTCGGGCTGCTTAACTAATGTAAAAGGTCATATTTTTATTTTAAGATGAATCCTTGTCACCACTCGAGTTGTATGATCTAGCTTGATTCTTAATTTCCACATTTGGTGCCACCATCCTTGTGTTCCGGTGGGACCTATAGAACCTGATTCCTCTAATGTGATAGAGGAAAACTGCAAGAGAGTCTCCAGTACTGCTAATTTGTCCTTGGAAAATAAAGAATTTTAATGTTCTACTGGAGCATGCATCTTCTCAGCATCTGACATCAAATTCAAATCTGTCATCATTTGTTTGTCAGGCTGTGTTGCTCTCTGAACAACGTGTTAGAAATGCATTAGTGAGCTTGAATGGGTCACATTGTTCATTATCTGAACCTTCATTTGTATCTTCTTGCAAACTTTAATTAATTGTCCAAACTCTGCAATGTTGGTAGGAGTGGAGGTTATAGTTACCAACCCTATGCAGAGGTGGTGATTTCCAGTCCATTAGCAGTATAAAACAACCCTTGTGCCAAGATAGGTAATCTGGATGGATTCTGTGTGCCACATCTCAGAAGCTGTGAAGAAGTCATACCGTACATGAAATGTGAACTCTGTTTTTCTCTCGCTCTCTCTCTGTAGATGCCTGCTGAGTTTCTATGGCATTTTCTGTGCTTGTTTCAGATTTCCAGAACCCACAGTATTTTGGTTTTATTTCACTACAAAAGTGTGTTTCCTTGTTCAGTGTCCAGTGGAATCAATTCTTATATCTTCAAAGCTGTTTTCTCTAAGATGTCTAATTACCAGTTCTGAAGAAGGGTCACTGCACCCAAAATGTTAACTGTTTTCTCTCCACAAATGCTACCAGACCCAAAGAGTTTTTCAAGCAATTTCTGATTTTGTTTCTGATTTCCAGCATGTGCGGTTCTTTTGGGTTGTTTTTATTTTGTCCAGTTACATGTTCTATTTAGCTCATTTCTGAAATTAAATCTGTCAGGCAATTAGTTCTGTTGCAATTTCTTCTCAATGTGATCATTTATTCTTAAAGTCTGCTGCATATTAATGCCACTTTGTAGAATTAAAGGCCTTTGATTCTACAGTATAGCAATGATGAAGATGATCAAAATGGAGGATTTATGCTTCTTTTCAATGGCTTTCCCAAATGAATCTTGCTGAAGATGGTATTACAGCTGAATCTCAGCATCTTAAAGACTTTCCCAAGGTGCTGCATGCTATCAATGGCACAGCCAATATTCCCCACAACCTTACAGTTTTAATAAACCGTCCCATTTTCTTTAATGGCTTCATTGAATCAGTATTACTGTGGCCTTAAATTCTTCCCAGCTTTTCCATGGTTTCAATTATGGACTCTGACTGTGGCCTCAATAGTCATCTTTGTTTAGTTTATTTTTCCATTAGATACTGTATACTTAGGCTTTTAAATTGCCTCTTGTTTTAATTATGGCTTCATGACATTCCTGCTGCTGCAACGTCAGAATTTAATTATTTCTGCAGTCCTCTTATTTCCAAAACTGTAGCCATGCTTTACAGTTCTGGTTTGCTTTGGCTATGGTGATGGATCTGATCTATAAGTATTTCACTTATTTCTAGGTTTCTTAATCTACAAATGCACCATTTAATTAAAAATCCCACTTATTTACCAGGGATTTTAACCTTACTAAAGGACCCCTGATGTCAGTTTGCTTTGTAGCTGAACCTTGACACAAGAAAAGTTTCTATAATTCACTGGCATCTGATGCAACCTGTAACCGCTAACTGTTATGATCCCAGCTGATGTTATCACTGTACAAGTCAGAACCCAGACTGAAATCTGTCTTAACAGATCTTTTTGTTTTAGTTATGTGCTTATGTTTCAGCATAAGACCGCATAATGTTGCAGATTTGGGTTTAACAATCAAACAGAAGTTTATTATGCACAACAAATCATTTACATAATAAAATGTAAAGCTTTCAAAACACATAGCAAAAATATAATCCCAAAAACATTTATTTACAGATCACAAGAATACTTATATATACAGTACGCACTGGAGAGAATTTCCTTCTCTATTTCCTCTATTAGCTTAATTTGACTGTGACTTCAATTCCCTTTCTGGAGAATCTGACAGCCTTTTCTTCCTGCCTTCATTTACCTGAGTTTTAACTTTTACAGCTTCAAACAACCCTCCGTTTTGCCTATGTCTGGTCTGGAACAATTACTAAACTATTAGTCTGCTAAAGATCTCTGATCTTGTCTGTGTTAATTTGCAGCTTGTAGTATCAATGCAAGAAAAACTGAAACCAGTCATCTAAAGGTATTGTTTTATTAAGGAAGAGGATTGTTATAATTTGGATAAAATAATCAGATGTTTAATATGCTTGCCCAGAGATTGATAGCAAACTAGGGTGTTTAAGAGAAGCAAAACCCTATTTGTAGCATACCTGGTATTCTGTCTGGGAACGATATATTGGCTTTGGAGGCAGTTCAATACAGGTGACAATATCTGGATCTCAAGGGTTAAATGGTAAGGAGTGGTTACAGATAATGAGAATTGAATTCCCTTAAATTCAATCATGTATGATTTGACTGAAGTTTGCAAGATATTAAGCTGACCAGGTGGGGCAGAAAAAGAAGCTATTGCCACTTTGGTTGGAGACTCAACGATTGTGGCAGGTGCATTATTTTAAAACTACATCAAAACCTGTCGGTAATGAATCCGGAATTAGTTGTACATGCAACAGTTTGCAGAAATTGGTAGTTTTCTTCAAATAAATTAATATCAGATCAATTCTTAATTTTAAAACAATGATTGAAAATATTTTGTTAGGCAAAAGTACTAAGAGAATGGGTGCGAAGGCTTAACTATGTGGTTTGGTTGCATGTCAGCCATAATCACAATGAATGGTTGAACAGGTTTGGGAGGTAACTAGTCTCTCTGTTCGTGTTGGATAAACAAATTAGGAAGCATTGAATTGACGCAATGTTAGGCTGAGGAGCAGTATAAAGAACACTACTTTAGGAACAACAAAGGTCCAAACACTAAATCCTAATCTATATGAAAAAATTGGAAGCAAAAAAAAAAATTCCACATGTATTAAATGAGAATGTAGAGAATGACAAAACTAGGAAACCAGCGGGAATGGAGTCAATGATGTCCAGAAGGATTCAGATTAATTGTGCAATTGTCAAGACAAATAGCAAATAGTACGGAACTCCGAGATCACATATTTTGCAGATTTTTTGACACTGCAGTGGGATTAAAGAGATCTCTAAAGGATTCAAGAAAGACGGTTAAAACACTCTTGTTCAATGAC